AATAATAATAATAATAATAATAATAATAATAATAATAATAATAATAAACATGCTCAGCCACTTTGGATACAGAGGCTCTTATTTTAACTTTCACCTAGCCTCAGTCATCTTGGATATAGGTACATGAAGTTGTGGACTCATTTTCTGGATTTCTCTAAGGCAGAAGAAGAATGCTGCTTTGGGTTGATTAACTGGTTACTGACTGTCAATAACTCTTGAGATCATTAGATGTGGCATCTACCAGGACCATCTCTAAGAAGAGAGTGGAATACATGACATTATGGTAATTCTGGCAACTTCTTGGGCTTGGTTTCAACCGTATTTTTGTGCTGGCTTTTCTGTCATCTCTGCCTAAGGGATGAGAAAAAGTTTGTGTCTTGGGGTATTTTGAAATTTACCAGAAAGAAAACGTTAACGATCTTCTTGGATACCTTTATGAAATAGGCGATATCTGTTCAGCTCATTGTGGGAGTTTTAAAGTTGCAAAAAAAAAAACCCACAAGTCCTTGTGATTTCTGATGCGACTTGCAACATTATTGCTCGCTGGAAATAATTCTGGCAGCTGCAAACCACAGTTCTAACTTCTTGAATTACACTTGTACCTAAATACACAAACCGATATTTAAACGATACATTTAACAAGGGACAATGTGGAAAGCCTTTTTCTTCTATCTCTCAGCAGACCCTTTTTGTACCTAAATTATCCTCCTTCCAATGAAAATCTGTGAAAGAAAAGCTACATAACAACAACCCTTTACAAGCTTTGTGAAAGATCCAATGATGAAGCACCCACAACTTCTGGTGACAGTTGTTCCACTGATTAATTGTTCTGTCAGGAAATTTCTCCTCAGTTCTAGGTTATTAAGTTAGTCACACGGTTGCAAACTGAATATGGCTTCCCCGTTGACTTGTTGCTTGTTGGAAGAATGTAAAATGTGATTGGGTCCATGATAGTTATCCAGGTAAGGGAACTTCGTGGCCTTTCCCCCTGGAATTGAAAGAATGTTTAGAGGCAGCATTCCATACAACAATTTTTGGCTTGTTTGCATTTTTT